CCCTGTCTCAAAAAACCAAAAAAAAAAAAAAAAAGAGAGGGCATCTCATAGCCGGGCGGTGGTGGTGGTGGTGGTGCATGCCTTTAATCCCAACACTCAGGAGGCAGAGGCAGGCGGATCTCGGTGAGTTCGAGGCCAGCCTGGTCTACAGAGTGAGTTCCAGGAAAGGTGCAAAGCTACACAGAGAAACCCTGTCTCGAAAAACAAACAGACAAAAAGAGAGGGCATCTCACAGGTTAGTTTATCTAGGAAAAGACAAGGAGATCACTTAGGGATTTATGGAAATCTCTGAATGCAAACAGCTTTTCTGAATTGCTGAGTTCCCTACTCCTGGCCCCTGAGATTGATGTCTGATCAAAGGATACTAACATAAACGATGAGTCCCTTCATGTGGGGATGAAGTTGGGAAATCACAAGTGGGAAATTACTGCAGTATTCAAAGCAGGAATATTGACTTGGAAGAGATTATTATGACAGGGCAAAAAAGGGAAGAATTCTTTTGGACCAGTTTAGGAGGCTTACCTTAAGGGCACCCTGCTCAGAGGACCCCAACAGAGGGTGGGGTTTCTAATGTGAACTCAAGACATTTATTTTAGGAAGGGCATAAAACTTTTTGCTTCACTAGACAATATTAACTATTCAACATTCCCCATCCCATGTAGGGGCAACAGAAATACAATGCCTTTAGTTCCTCTCTCTTCCAAATCAATTAAATGAAGCAAAACTAAATACCCCATCATCAGCTCCAAAGTTAAGCCTGGCCATTTAAGCCATTTGTTCTCCGTCAGTATCACCTTCCTAGGCAGCAAGTATGCAGTGCAGAGGAAGAGGGTTTTCATGTCATAATGCCTGGGGTAACCAACTATGCCCCGCGTCCATAGCCTTTCATAAGAACTCCCCGGAGCCATGTAAGGAAAGGTAATCTCACTGTCAGTTAATGCTTTAGAGACAGCTAGAGACCCAACTCTGAAAAGTAAGATATGAGTGGTCCTCCTTCTATGAAGCCTCTGGGGTCCTTTCTTCTTACTGTCTTGTTTCAACTGTGCAGACACTACCACCATTTCTTTCCCCAAACTAGTTTTTTCCGAATCTTCTATCACTGACATCTCCATTTTCTGTTACCAAGTACCACAGCAACTGTGACTTCTAACCTTTAACCTTACGGTGACGATTGAGGTTTGCCTGTGACAACCTGATTTTATTCCTGTTCTCCCAGGGTAAAGTTTATATAGTCACTTACTTATTTTCAATTAAAACAACAGCTCTGACTTTAAAGAAACAATGTTCTCAGGCAGGGATTGGCAATCCATGGCTTACAGGCTGTTTTGTACCTACTTAGGGGCTGAAACTGACTGTAATGTTATTAAGTGATTTAAAAATCAAAAGGATAGGCAAGGTATGGTCATCCTCATCTACATATCAAGCTCAAAGCCAGTCTGGGATACATGAGACCCAAAACAAAGGGATGGCATTTTATGACAACAGAAATTAAAGTTCAGTGTCTCTAACTACAGTTTTAATTGCCACACTCGTTCACTTAAATATTAACTATGAGTTGAGAAGTTGGGGCAGAGACCTTATGGCCTAAATATATAATTCATTACAGAAAACTGTTTTTCAATCCCCGCACTAACTACACCATTAGTCTTATGTACAGCCACAGTAGCATATTTGGTTTCCCATCCCACCCTTCTCCAAGAGCTAAATCCTCTCCAGGGAAGTTTTGATCACCAGTATCGTTGACAGGTATATAGTCCAATCCCTTCACCCTAAGACAACTACCTAAAAACAGCAGCCAGAAAAGCTCATTCCTTCTTTTCTAGACTACCGCTCACGTTAGAGTCCTTTGTGCTGGGTAGCTCGTCCCTAAGCTGTCACAGTTCGTCTATACCTGTCCCCACCCTCTCTCTCCTTTGCTCAAAGTTACAAGGCACCGGCCAGTCCCTGGATCCACCTTCCTTCCTCACAGGCAGGGCGGCAGAAGCCTGTCAAACTAGTTGAGAGAGCGAGGCGGGCGTGGCTGGGAGCGGGTGGAATTCAGGCTGGAAAGCCAGGGCCCCAGAGGGCAAGCGACGGGCGGCCTTCCCCGCGCATTCCCACCGCGGAGGAGGAGGAGGAGGAGGCAGCGCGCGGGCGAACTCGCGTCATGCTCCGGATCTGGAGCTGAGGCATCGGGCGCAGCTAGGACTGATGTCCGCAGCCCGGCTCCACACGCGGTCCCTCAGCTCCCTCTCCGTTCCGGCCCCCGCCGTGCGCCGTCACAGACGCGGCCGCAAAAAGCTGCCGCGGGGCGCACGCGCGCTGCAGGGAGGGGTCGCCGAAGAGAGCCCAGCGCGTGGCGCTCCGGGGCCCGCGCACGCGCCCCAGCGGCGTCCCGCCCCCATAAGCGCGAGTGCGCACGCGCGCGGGCCGGCTCCTCCCTTTTTTCGTCCCCGCCCCTCTCTCCCCTCAGCCCCGCCCCTCTCTTACACTCCCTAGGCTGTAGCGCTGAAAGAGTGAGAGCCGGGAAGTGTGGGGCGAGGTGGGCGGGGCGTCGCCCGCGCGCGCCGCCAGCAAGGGCAGGAGCTGCGAGAGCGAAGCCAGACAACGTTACCCCGCCAACAGCCAATAAGCAGCCGGCACTGCCACGCCCCGTCCCCTCACGTGATTGGCTGCGCGCCGCCTGGTGGGCGGGGCCGGCCGCGGGCTTGGGGAGGGCAGGGGGCGGGAGGAGGAAGGCGCTGGCGGGCAGTGATGGCGGCGGGTGATGGGGACGTAAAGCTAGGCACCCTGGGGAGCAGCGGTGAGCGCGGCGGCGACGGCGGCGGCGACGGGAGCCCTGGCGGCGCGGGAGCGACGGCGGCGGGGAGCAGTTGGGCGGCGGCGCTGCTGGCGGCGGGCGGGGAGATGCTGCTGAACGTGGCGCTGCTGGCGCTGGTGCTGCTGGGGGCCTACCGGCTGTGGGTGCGCTGGGGGCGGCGGGGTCTGGGCGCGGGGCCCGGAGCGGGCGAGGAGAGCCCGGCCGCCACGCTACCACGCATGAAGAAACGGGACTTCAGCCTGGAGCAGCTGCGCCAGTACGACGGGGCGCGCACGCCGCGCATCCTGCTCGCGGTCAATGGGAAAGTCTTCGACGTGACCAAAGGCAGCAAGTTCTACGGCCCCGGTGAGGAATGAGGGGTATCGGGGGGCCCGGGACACCCTATCTCCGCCGCGGCCACGCACCTGGACGCCCGCCCCGTGCGTGCCCCCAGCTGCGGGGCTCGGGGGGCTCCAGTGGCGCCCCACAAACCTGCTCTCGGCGTTCCTTCCCTTCCCACCCCGTGTCTCCTCGCAGCTTTTCCTGGGGCTGAAATTCTCAAAATTCTTACGAGTTGACTCTAGTCACATTGGCCCTCAACCTTTCTCCTGAGCTTTCCGATATCTGGGCTTTGTAAGGGCAGAAGGGATAAGGAGATGGCTAAAGTGGCGACCCAAAGTTTTCGGCCCTGTGCAAGTTCCAGCTTTTTGCTCTGAAATGCCTGACACTTACCTACTCTTTGCTTCTCTGGACTAGGTTGCATGGAGCTAGGGATAGGGACACGTAGATTCAAGTCCCAACCCTCCCGGTTCTGGAGCTCGGTATAAGAACCACCTCCGACTCATTTTCTTCCTTTTTCTAAAAAGCCAGTTTTGGCTCCAAGATGCTTTCCAAGATTAACACTGTATGTGAGATGAGGACGAACCATAATGTAGATCTTAATAAGACTGGCAACGATACTGGCCCTGGGTGTCTGGGGTGGAGCTCATCCGCCTAGCAGGCGTGTCTGTCTGTCTCTGTCTCTCCCTCTCTCCTCTCTGTCTCTCTCTCCCCTCCCTCCCTCCCTCTCCCTCCTTTTTCTCTCTGCTGGTAGTAAGATAAGTGTTCAAATGCCCGTTGATAATGAATTATTGTATTTTCCCTGCCATGCACTGTTTCTCCAAGTTAAAGGTTTTACAACTTTGCTTTCAGAAAACTATGGAAGGTAGTTGCTGTAGAAGCCCTTTAAGAGTGTAGAGGTAATCTGTTTCAGATTACACAAATAAACTTCAAACTCGGGGAGTCTGTTGGTAGTCCATAAAATTGAGCAACATGGTTATGCAGTGATTAATATTAAGCTTTAAGGGGGGGGCGGCGGCGGAGGGGGAGCTGTAGTGGGTATAAGAGCAAAGCAAGAGACCAAAAGTGACCCATTCCTGGAAGGACTACATCCAGCTTTTAAACAAGGTTTCCTTTTAATTTTGTTAATGTACGTGATTTATTGACACTGAATATGCTTCTTATTTCAGTGCTTAGCTGGATGCTATTTCAGAAGTGTTTGAGTTTGTTGATTGGATTAGGGTTAAGAAACTGGAGTGTTTGGTGTTGGATCTGATTATTTCTTAGCTTATGTTTCATTACATATATAATATGTAATACTTCCTCTGGATGTATAAACAGATACCACATGTCTCCTTGCTTACATCAACTTCAGTAGCTAATACTTTTTTGTTTAAGAGCATGTTGAACAAGAGACTAGGACCAAAGTATATTATTTACACAGACCAAGTCAAATAAACTTTTTAAAGTCAAGAATTTACACAGATTTTGTAGCTAGTTACAGCCTTTCCCCCAGTGGCATTAAAAAGTGTGTTCAGTGGTTAAAGATTGTCTAGAGTATTTGTAAAAAGAACCATTATTAGTCCTCACACATTAGGAAAGAGGCAGACAGTTTGGGCAGCCTCCAGTGGCAAATGTGTGGCAGAAGTTAAAAACTAAGAGTAGGAAGTATACTGTAGATTGTGTTTCTGTGGCTTGAGCACATAGACATTCTTCAGATGATAATGAAGAACCACCCTAGGTGTGGTAGTACAGGCATTTAACTCCGCACCCTGGAGGCAGAGGCAGGTGGGCCTTTGAGTTCTAGGCCACTTGGGGTTGCATAGTGAGACCCTGTCTCAAGACAAAAAAGAATAGAGAACCACTTCCTTATTCTGATACATAGTTATTTTATTACAGGTATCAATAAACAATCTAGTAGGAGTATCTGAAAAGTTTTGTTTTTTCGAAACAGGTTTTTTCCATGTAGTTTTGGTACCTGACCTGGATCTCACTCTGTAGACCAGGCTGGCCTCAAACTCACACAGATCCACCTGACTCTGCCTCCCGAGTGCTGAGATTAAAGGCGTGGGCCACCACCACCCGGCTTGAAAGTTTTTATTATTGGGAAGAACTTAAATGTAAACCAGAGCATCTCGGGAGCTTCTAATCTGTTGATTTTGTTTATTTATTTACTTTTGGATAGACTGCGTTTGAAGTGCTTTCCAGGGGTCTTGATGCCATTTTCATTTTATTCTGGAATAAATGAGATAATTTTGTAGAGGTATAGTTCAGTACACAGTTCTCCTTATCTAAGAACCTTAGTAATTTGAAAAACTCAGCCTAGAGCTGGAAAGCTTATTTTGTACCCAAACTGCTATCAATTTCCATTTTGCAGTGATATGTTTATGATTAAAGAGTGTTCTGTGAGGGTTTTTTTCCCTCTGTAATGCTGGACACGATCTTTCAGCTGTGCGTCTTTAAAGTTCCACTAATTAAAAATAAAATTAAATGGCAATACTTCACATGTACTTCACTGCCAGCCATTTGCCAGAATGTGTTGACTTTCTTGTCAGTATTGTAGTTAGTAATAGGCAGGTACTTGGCTAGCTTGAACAGAAGTGTGATCATGTAGGAAACTGAATTTCCTGAGCATCCAATGATCAACCATTTGTCATTTCTGCAGATCTTTGGTGAAGTTGCAAAGTATCTGCCTTACAGATGAGTTTAAGTAAGCTGGCTTGGATCATATAGATAAATCTGAAAACTCTAGGTATGTTTAACTGCAAAGTTTTTGTACACTGATAAACTGCTTCTGGGATAAACTTAAAAGAATCCTGTTACTGGTTTACTTTATACCCTTTTCTCGTTGTTTCCATACAGATTTTGAGCTTCAAATATACTTTCATTTCATGGCTTTTATGTTGGTTGTTCTTGCTGCCCATTATGGTAGCCCAAGCCACAAACGGCTAATTAAAATTAATGTATTTTAAAAGGAGTTATTTGATAACAAGTAGGCACATTCCTCAGCCACATGACTACCACACTAAACCTTGTACTTGATGGAGTGCTGTACTCCTGCTACCCTAGGAGTTACTAGCGATCAGCATTGATTCTGGAAGCCAGTGAACAGAAGTTCATGCTCCATTTCTGGAGCAGGTTTCATTTCTTTCTTTCTTTCTATTTTTTTTTAAATGACTCTACAAGATATTTTTGTATTCTTGTTTTACATTTTTGAAAACTAGAACTTAGAAATTTTGCCCTAAAAGCACCTAACTAAGTAGCCACACTGAAAATCAGGCCCATATCCGGCTGCCTTCACAGGTTGTTTCTCATTGTCATCTTATCCATCAAGTCTATGCTTACATTCACAGTAGGTTTTGAATATATTAACGTGTACTCTTAAATGTATTACAGTAGGAGAGCTTTGTGCATTTTATTCTCTGGAATGGTGAAAAACATACTTTGGCTATTTAATATTTTTCTCTACTCGTTTGTCGATATATGCCAAAGCTATAGCCAGCTTACCTTTTAAATTCTACTGAAAAGGAAAAGGCCACATAAGTAGCCCCTTGAAGCTGCCTAATAGGAGGTTGGGGAAAGGAGCCCATGAACCTAAATCCTTCCCCCTTTTAATCTTGTCTTCAGTGTGTTAATTTTTATTTAACATTTTAATTTACAAAACTGTGGTTTAGCAAGAGTTGCAACATAAGGCCAAACCTGGCCTGACCTACTGCTGCATGGATATGTCCAAGTTGTCACAATCCAGCTGTCATCACAGTTTCTTGCTTTGAAGCCAACTAGGTTTGTTGTTTGGGCTGGTTACCACATGCATCTTGTTAGCTACCAGTAAGATAAAGGGGACCAGCAACAGTTTCTGAAGTAGCTAAGCATGGTAATGCACACTTGTAATGCCAGCACTCTTGAGGTAGAGACAGGAAGATGGCCTTTACTTAGAGGATAACCAGGCTACATAGTTGAGCTCCAGGATGGCTGTACTGTGAGTTCCTGTCTTGAAAAAAGCAAAGTCCAGAAGAGTTTTATATTGTGCCGATCATTTCTATAATATTGGTTACCTGTTCTGAATTCTGCATTATTGCATTGCTTTTAATGTTTTAGAGAACTGTATTGTGTTAAATACTACAACAAATTAACATAACAAAATTGAGAGCAGAAAATGCCAATTGAGATTAGAAGTAAGGAGCAGAACTAGTCACATGTACTCAGCTGTTCAGATGCTTCTCGAGGCCCTCTGGGCGATCTGGCATATTCCTCCCCATATGCCTGTGGCATACATCACTATATAAGTCTTGGTGCCTGTATCCTTTCTCAAGATCTTTAATATGAGACTTCATCTCCATTTTTAAATACTGAGAAAGGAACACCTTAGATTTCACTACAGTAAGACTGTAAGTAAGGCAATTTCAGAAATGGAGTTAGTCTTTGGCACAGACCAGTCCATATCTGTGAACTTGACATTGCTTGAGGACAGGCAGTAAGTATACAAACATACCTCAGTATGTAATTATACTCTGATAAAAAAAAATTAAGTGCTATGAATGAAATTAAGGTTATGATCAAGGGGCTTATTTGGGTATTTAGAAGTACCTTATTTCTATTGATGGTCTGTACAGAGATTGTTCTGAAATGGGTTATTAGCCTTACCGTACAGTAGGGTGAGCACGTAGAAGCCATCTAATCAGACCCATCTCTTGTCATCTCCATTGATAGCTCAGGTTTGGTTTCAACCTTTGGTTACTTGTAGTTAGTTTGAGGTTTATTACTACAGCCCTTGCAACCAACTTGTACTGTTTTGTTCTTGTAAAAAAATATATATATATACTTAGGCCAGGAGGTGGTGGAGCATGCCTTTATCCCAGCACTCGGGAGGCAGAGGTGGGATTCTGTGAGTTCAAGGCTAGTCTGGTCTACAGAGTGAGTTCAGGACAACCAAGGCCACATAGAGAAACCCTGTCTTAAAAACCCTAAAATATAGAACTAGATTTTGAACTCTCATCAGCATTTTATGTTCTCGTAGCTCAGTCGGGTTACATTTTTGTGAGTACTGC